GAAAGAGTATCCTGGAACTGCAGAAGACATTTTATGATGAGAGGACCTTAAGATTCCAAAAGGCAGGAAAAAGGATGCATCTAGGTCATTTGGGAAGGTACAAGCATGGGAAAACACAGGAATAAGGGGACAGAAAGGCACAGTTGCATTGAATCAGCTGGCTGGCTGATACGCTTGTCTGGCCATGCCCTTTGATGAGCAGTGATGAGCACAGTCTCCCATTCTTATTCAATCCCATTTCTAACTTCTCCTGAGTGACGGACTTCCTTCTCTGTGTGTGTGCCTGTGTATGGGGGTCTATCTGCCCCCCTGTGGCTGGAGACACACCATGGGTCAGAGGGCCCATGTGCCAGTTACTTCCTTTTGCTGTTCCAGTTTGTTTACAGTGTATATTCATTAACATGGATTATAATTCGATATTTAATAATTTTAAACAAGTTTCAAGCCAATGAAGAACAGTTCTGAGCTCTCAACTCTCGAGATCACCCTAAGCACTTCATACAGAATTTCTTTTCAGGCTGTTTTCTTTACACAACAGGAGCCATGAGAAAAGACTCAGGTGTCACATTGAACACTTTGCCCATACGTAGAAAGCTTCTTTGGGAGGTGCTGGTGTGGAATAGTTATGTATGATTTGTCAAGCCAAATGCAGCTTGAAATACAGCTTCCTCTACTATTATTCCCTTATTATTTACTTGCTGCAGCTGTAGGAGCCACAACACTGTATTAACACTCTGCGTAATTCCAGTCCTTTGACACCATCGCTAGTAAACTAACTTAAAGCACCTAAGATCACTCAAACTTATCTTTAAAACTGGACTTCCACTAACAGATCAGGGTCATAAATGTGAGTTTTAAAGCCCATGTGTTAGATGGGCTTTGGTAAAAAACCACCATGAACTACAATTAAGTATTTTTACAAGAATAAAGTTGTGCTTCATTATCTGTGGAATGAGTACAAGTACAAACCTTGCATCAAATTAACTTTGATGATAATACAGACAATACAACAGAAGAACAACAATTACAAAAAAATCAAGATGGGATGATAAAGCATATTGCAAAGAGAGAGCCTAATTACAAAAAGAGAAGGCTGGCTATGGACAGCACACTAGAGACTTCATGAAGATGACACAAAGTATAACAATAACAACTGGCAGACAAATGAGTAGAAGGCAAATATTAGGAAAGGATATTTTAATATCCTATTTTAATACAATGCAATGTTTAATTACTTTAATACAATGCGATGAAATTTGGGATGAAATGGGATGCAAAGTGATGGAAATGTCCAAGATAAAGAAATACTTCATCTCAAAAGGACATTACCTGCTGTAAGTCTTCACTTTCAGATTTCAGTTGGGCTACGAGAGCTCTCATGCAGCCCTTCATAGAACATAACGTAGCCTGTTAGGAATCAGAAGAAAAAAGAAGGTGAATTGTATTAAATTACAGGTTAGATGGCTTGCTTCTGCACAATGTTTTGATATTTTAAACTAATCATATCTGAAGTTCAGTAAAAACTTAGTAAAATAACAACAATAAATATTTGGTTTACAACTACTAAAAAGTTAAGCGTAACTAGCAGCTTCTATTCTGGACAATACATAAGGAGTAAAACTGCGCTAAATTTTGTACATTTTACAAAAGGTCTAGGATTTGATCTGGAACTTTAATAGCTTAGAAGCCTTCTTTACTATACACCAGATAAAAATCACCTATATGCTGGCAATGTGTTGTTACCTACTGTGTACTGAGTCTCACAATAATACTTTTTTTTTCAAATAAACATAGTATGAAAAGTAATATAAATACTTAAACCAGACACAAATAAATCAACATTTCTGACATTAGAGAACAACTTACTAAGAACACAATAGCAACTGAAAAACTGTAAGGCTTACGTTGGAAATTGTGACAAAGCACAACTAAAAATTATTAAAAAACGAAGATGTGCATGAACTGTACTACCTGCCAGATGGACAGCACATACATTTACATCTCTGAGTTTAGTTTATGCTATGCCCTGCAGCAGTTACTGACTGGATGATGTACAGTGACAGTATTTTGTGAAGCAATTCAACCGCAGCAAGGATTTATGCTTTATTCTTGTCTAAAACTTGGAATAAAAAGCAAGTTATATGATGCCTATTATTTCCATCCGCACTTGAAATATCTTTTTCTAGAGTAGTAAGATAAAAGCCTTCTCACTATGAAGTTATTTTGAGATCCATGGCTTGGCAAACTCTGGGGCAAGAAATTATTGCAACTTTCTACCTTTTAAAAGCAAGGTCCTTGTCAGAAACTAGGGAACCTATTTTCTCTTGTAATAATTTGAAGTAGTGTCCATTATGAGCCAGATATGCTCCAGCCTGAAGAAGTTTGCAAAATTTCATCAGACAGTAATAGTATTGTTAAATAACTAACAACTTTACAAAATTTGACTTAATTAGCAGTTTTAGCTCAACATCCTTAGAAAAGCCTGTCACTAACTGTAATCACTGGTCCATAATGATTGTGTGCTATACTTACCTAATGCTAATAGAAATTAAGAGAGTAGATAAAATCCTTACTTTCACTGACAAATTAGAAGTGATTTAATTTCATATGAGAGTTGATCCTTTACTGGCATAACACAACTTTCAGTTCCTGGTGCTCTCTATCAGGAACAGGACAGAATGACAGGTATTTTGAACTTCTTTCTTGAGCTCAAACTCAGTATTCTGTCCTGGAGATTTTTCATCACCACTTTCGAGAACTAGAATTCAAACATAGCTATGAACATAGCTATGAACTAAAATTACTCTATATTCAAAATTCTACTCTCACCTTGTTTGCCACATCTCCAAAAGTCAGGTTTGTTAGGGCCATTCCAGCATACCTCCTCAACGTAACACTATAGTGATCATTTGTAAGTCCATACATTTCACAATCCACTTGCAACAGTTCAGCAATGGCCTGCAAACCTCCTTTAAAATCAAACAAAAAGGAAAATAAACAATATTCGTACTCCAATATTGTGAGCACAACACATACATTCTAAGGAGCAAATTACATTTATACGTACGGAACAAATCTCAAACACCTGAGAACTAAAAGGCTCAGGAAAGGTAAACAAATTATTAAATACTGACTCTGCATCTTGAATTCTGTGCTTTGTAGCATCTAAAAGGTATGACAGCATGACATTGAGATTTCAGGGGAAAATGGGAACAGGAAGAATTATGAAAAAGCAAGACACACACTCATCTTTTAATTCTACCCAGCCAAAATCATGTTTGACTGATGAACTTGCACCAGTTACATAAAAAGCTATTTAGTAAATCTGAAAATTACTGATTATTATCACTGAATGTTTTCTGAGAAAAATATATATAATATTTTCATTGATAAAGAAAATGGCAAATAAAGGAAAACTGCATACACAGAATTTACTGAGCATGGACTAAAAAATTCAGGCTGTTAAACAGGAACCAACTTAAAACAAAATAACCTCCCAAAACCAAAACACCAACAAAAATCCTCCCATCTTGGAAAGAAGTCTCTGTTCTATGTCTAATACTTCTAAAATTGCAAACATTTCTATAAGAATACTTTTCCAAATTTTACAATACATGCCAGAAAAAAAGAATAACTGACATAATAACTTCTCGACTGGGAGGAAAATGGTCTGATTTATCTAAATGGCATTCATCACTTAGAGGGCAATAACTGACACAAATGAACTGATGATCTGTTTAAAATAGTAATAAACCCCCCACATATCCAGTGTGGTAGACAAATAGTGCCACTGTTCCCAACAAGCTTCTTAAAGAAAGTCAGAGCAATGCATTTGGTCTTCACAGAGTTACACAGAATATTAGGAGCTGGGAGGGACCTCAAAAGATCATCCAGTCCATCCCCCCTGCCAGAGCAGGAACACCTAGACTGGGTCGCACAGGAACGCATCCAGGCGGGTCTTGAATGTCTCCAGAGAAGGAGACTCCACAACCTCTCTGGGCAGCCTGGTCCAGTGCTCTGTCACCCTCACAGTGAAAAAGTTTTTCCTTCTGTTCACATGGAACCTCCTATGTTCCAGCTTGCACCCATTGTCCCTTGTCCTGTCATTGGCTGTCACTGAGAAGAGCCTGGCTCCTTCCTCCTGACACTCGACCTTTACAAATTTATAAACATGAATGAGGTCACCCCTCAGTCTCCTCTTCTCCAAGCTAAAGAGACCCAGCTCCCTCAGCTGCTCCTCAGAAGGGAGATGCTCCACTCCCTCCATCATCTTTGTAGCTCTGCGCAGGACTCTTTCCAGCAATTCCCTGTCCTTCTTGAACTGAGGGGCCCAGAACTGAACACAATATTCCAGATGTGGTCTCACCAGGGCAGAGTAGAGGGGAAGGAGAACCTCTCTCCACCTACTCACCACACCCCTTCTGATACACCCCAGGATGTCATTGGCCTTCTTGGCCACAAGGGCACATTGCTGGCTCATGGTCATCCTGCTGTCCACCAACACCCCCAGGTCCCTTTCTGCTGTGCGACTCCCCAAAAGGTCAGTCCCCAACCTATGGGTACATGGGTTTGTTCTTCCCCAGATGCAAGACTTTACACTTGCCTTTGTTGAACCTCATTAAATGTTTCCCCGCCCAACTCTCCAGCTTGTCCAGATCTCAGCACAGCTTTCTGGAGTGTCAGCCACTCCTCCCAGTTTTGCGTCGTCAGCAAACTTGCTGAAAGTGCACTCTGTTCCCTCAGCCAGGTCGTTACTGAATAAGTTGAATAGTACTGGTCCCAGTACCGATCCCTGGGGGACCCCACTAGATACAGGCCTCCAACTGGACTCTGTCCCATTGATCACAATTCTCTGACTTCTTTCCTTCAACCAGTTCACAATCCATCTCACTCCGCAATCATCCAGACCACACTTCCTCAGTTTAGCTGCGAGGATGATATAGGAGACAGTGTCAAATGCTTTACTGAAATCAAGATAGACCACATCCACTGCCCTACCATCATCTGTCCACCTGGTTATGTCATCATAAAAGGCGACCAGGTTGGTGAAACATGGCTTCCCCTTGGTGAAACCATGCTGACTGCTCCTAATGATCCTCTTATCCTTGATATGTCTGGAGACAGTGCTGAAGGTAAGCTGTTCAATCACTTTTCCAGGGATGGAGGTGAGGCTGACCGGTCTGTAGTTACCCAGGTCCTCCTTCTTGCCCTTTCTGAAGACTGGAGTGACATTTGCTTTCCTCCAGTCCTCAGGCACTTCTCCCGTTGCTCACGACTTAACAAAGACAATGGAGAGTGGTCTAGCAATGACTCCCGCCAGGTACCTCAGCACTTGTGGGTGCATCCCATCAGGGCCCATGGACTGACATATGTCCAGATTACTTACCAAGCTCATTCATCGCATGCCTGTGTTCTTCATCAAATGAAAGTTTCATCAAAACACACACTGCAGGACAGATTTGATGATCCACTGGAGCAGGCACTGATCAAGAAATAGGTAACAATTAGTATTTCCTAGGTAATTCTGTCTAGATCTTAAATTTTCCAAAGTGAATCTAATCTCAAGATAAATCAATTGCAGTTTTGTATCCGGTATTAAATAATATGCCAGCTAACGTGAAGCTGTTTGTTTGGTTATTACGTCCTTATGAATGGTTAATTAAACAATTTGTTTCATAACTATGAAGTTTTTGTGCTCATAAATCTGTGAGCTAGATTCTGGCTAATGCACAAATGGTATTGGTACATTTTGTTCAGAGCCCTGCTCCTGCGAAATGGTTCTTGCGGTAACCTCCAACACCCATGATGCGGCACACTGATGTCAGTAGTGCTTCTGTCATAGAGACCGACAGCCTGTACTTACAAAATACCCTCAATTCAGAAAAGCGGCTAAGCAATCCAGAAGGTTAAGTCTTTTTTCTATCTCTTCCCTAAGAAAACTCCTATTCACTCACATTGTCACTCCTTGTGTATTTTAATACTGAAAGAATCTTACATGCAACATTATAAATAATATTTCATATTGTATTAAATAAATGATTTAATTTGTTCTCTCTGTTACTCTTCTAAAGAAAATGTGCAATTTCCTGAATACATCTGCATGAAAAGTGATTTGGGATTATTTATTTAGATAAGTTTCATTATCCTTTAAAATGCAAAACAAAAAGAGTACATATTCAATATTAATTCACAGACTATAAACATAAAAACTAGAATCACTATCTAGGAAGTACGCCAATGTCTATGATTTAAATAACAAGCTTAAAAATAGAGTAAAATATCTGTAATAGGTGCTATTTCGTAACATTATCTCAAGTTAGAAAAGAAAAAAATACGTATCTATACAGATTAAAAGTTGTGCCTTCTGCAAATTCATTGTTTTCAATATATGCTTGAAACATTTTTATACAGCTTGCAGAACCTACTTGGGTTTTTGTCTTGGTCCATGCCTTGTTCATGTGCTTCCTGCCATTCCCAACATGCCTCACAGTAAGCACGGATCTGCTCCAAAAGATGGAGCACGCGGATTTCCCGTCTGCCTCGTTTATCATCAGGCTGGGAGTGAATGATGTTATGCAGTGCTGCGCTGGCTCTGGCACGGGCCTCTTTACTACCACGAGAGTTTCCTAACAAGACAGAGTCTTTATCGTTGCCATGTAAAAGCTGGATGAGGAGAGGAAGACATCCAGACTGACGCATGGCTATGCAGCTGTCTTGGGAGCTAGACATTGCTAGCAATGTTCTTGACATGTCATCTTTATCGTGAGTACCAAGCATTGATAACAATGAATACACCATTTCCACCTGCAGGTCAAATGATTTTAAAAATACAGTTACATTTAAGGAATACACATTAAATTAAATTAAAATGAAATCTGAATGGTACGCATGAGCAAAAGCCCCTTATTTAATGGTGTAAAAAACTATGCTATTTAGAAATAATTAAGTACTATTACAACTTCAGCATGCATAATCTTAATAAATTTCGTTTAGTGGTTAAATGGCTAAAAGTAGGTGGTAACTGTATATAACTGTATTAATCTACAAGGTCAATGGCAAAGACTTCTAAGTACCATTGTACAAAAAGGTTAAATAAACATACTAAAGTGTTTGATAAATCTAAGATATATTTTAAACTATCTCAGAAAAATATTTTCTGTATTAATCCCACTTTCACGTAAAGATGCTCTTCAATGAAAAGCTGTTATGTGGCATTAAATACAATTATTCTAGACAGTAAGAATGATTACATGGATTTTTAATTTACACTATGCAAAAAAAATCTTACATCCATATATTTTAAAGCTTTCCTTTAACACTATTACAAATTAGCTAATCATTTTTTGTTATGACAACTGAGTTGCATATGAACCAGATTATTTACAGCTAATGCAAAACTGAAGAGTTAAATTAACACTTTTTCCAGTTTAGAGGGGTAAAACCAGTAAAGCAAACAAATGCTCATTTAATATATATAAAATACTGAGCATGTCAAATTAGATCAAGCCATGGAAACACAGCATTACAGATTTAACTTGGAGTAATCAAATTTCTCATTTAAAAATAGCAATTCTGAGGGATTTCCTTGGCCGTCGTGTGTAATATACTAGTCAACACACTATTTGGGTTGTCTTTCCCCTTCTGTTTACTTAAATAATAGCTTTAGATCAAAAAATGCATTTGGTTCTTCTAATGAACTTTCAGTAGAATAACAGGACGTAGAGGATGTTTTAGATACTATCTAGAAAAGCAAACTCCTAAAGCCAAGATAAACAGGAATATTCAAAACCAAAGCACAACATAAAAGAAACTATCAACGGGAATTTAAAGTAGCAGCATGTGTTTCTTTAGAATATACCAATTAAGGAAGAAATAAGACTTTGGACTGTTAGACAAAGTTTTCTACTAATAACTAGATATTTGCAATGGTTTCCAGACCAATGAGTGATTTGATTTGGTTTCTTCAGAGAGAATTCTTATCTGCCTGAAGATAAGTACAAATACCAAGTTATAAAAAAATCAGATAACAGTGGATAGACTATGCACTTAAGTCTGTTAACATGTACTTCTCTAAATACTATAGGATTGCTGAAGCAATAGAAATCTTAGAATCTGTGAAGCTGTATGATCACATGCAAAATCCACTGAAACAGCCTTGGAGCCAATTTATGATAGCCTAGCATCCTGGTTTAGAGATCCCGTCCTCTTGGTCTGGGAAAAATCAAATAGAGTATTAAAACAAACCACTTGGATTCTTAAAGGATAGTAAATTTCATCTGTTTTGTGCATGTCCCTTGACAGGTATTTAAAGTATTTCATTAATCCAGTGTTATTTAGATTTGGAAGGTAAAGGTTTTGTCAGAGAATAAAGCTGAAGAAGCCACCAAGAAGTAGCCTCCAGGTTGTGGCAAATACAGTATAGGAAAAAATAAAAACAAGCAAGCAAAAAAAAAACAAAACAGAACCCCAAACAAAACGTACAAACTCCACCAAAAAATCATTGTCTCTCTGTATACGCACACTGCCCACAGACACATCTCCTTCTGTATCTGTTAAATGTATTTAGACTCTATACCACTTTCCCTTCTTCTCATGCGTTAATGTTAACTTTTCCTACCCCACAACACACTCAGTTCAGCTCATTTCTTTTTGCGTATCATTCCACACTCAGTCCCTTTCCCTGCCTTCAAGCCTCTCCCGCTGTCTGCAGCTTTTGTGAATTCTACAATTTGCAATGAAAACTTGCAGACAGAATAGCTGATGTCACTCTCATTTGGTACATGCATACAGTGCAGGATCAAAATTACAACATTATAATGCTGTTTTTAAGGCCCAAAGTACTTAATACTATGTGAAGCTAATAGGGCCTGCTTTCCAGAAAACTGTACTCTGCACAACACCAATAGTATCTATACTGCTGCCAATTCCAGAGGCAGTATAAGCTCCAGTGGTTCATTAACTCAATTTTGTGTTACAGATTTGCCCTTTTCTTTCCCTCTCTTTTCATGCTGCAAATATACTGTGAACACAGTCTTCTGTAAACTGACATCACCATGAAGGGCTTACAGAGTTCTTTATTCCTCCTCATTTAATTTCTTAGCAATTGGACTAGTTTTGTGGATTTGGACTCTAGAAAAGTATTCAAAGAATTGCTCTTAAAAGAGTTAGTTTTCATCATGGTTTACAAAACAACATCTCAAGCATTTTGGATATTTTTGTAATTTTAACTACATAATATTGCTATGTGTGGATAGATTGTTCATCTAATGTTAGGAACAAGGAAGTTACTGTATTAGTAAAAATGTAGCATTAGCGACCTGTGGTTTGTAATCTTCGGTTACCTTGGTACCCAGATGACTTGTCAGTCTGCGAGGAACAGAATAGTTACTAGAGCTCATAACACTGGCTGTCTCGTGGTCCATTCGAGTAGCAGAACTCTACAGATTTAAACAACAATTCAGTATAAAACAAAGCCTGAGTGAAAAAACAACTATTGCCTAATTCAGTTTCAGCACTGGATCATGATAGCAATGAACTGTCAACTTACTTTCATTAAGTTAGGTCCTCTCTGTCCTGACAAAACTTAAGAGGTCACTCTTAACCTGGGTTTTATTAATCACTTTTCCTCAAATTTAATCTCAACAGAGATTAAACAGATATTTTTGATGGAATTATTTTATAATTACTGTTTGCACCAAGATGAAGGAGAAGTGGACTTTGCAGCAAATCAAAATGTAATTTTTACAGAGAGAAAAAAAACAGCCTCAACTTTTATGTCAGATTATGTAGTGCATAGGAGTAAGCCTGTAATTCTTCATAACACAACCAGGTATGCAAGAACTGACAAGTAAAAAGAGATTAATTCAGCCAAGGAGTAACCCTACCTGAATTTGTCCATATCAAAAGCAAATGATGAGTGGATGAATCCAATTAATTTAACGAAAAGCTATAAAACAGTGCTGACACTGCTGTAATTTTCCTAGAAGTTACTGTAAACAGCATGCTCCTTCCCGTAGTAGCAAGACCCAGTTATTAGCATCTTTGTCCTCTTTTAATCCATTTTGTGTATTTACATTTTTCCTTTTTTTAACCACTCTTTTTTTTCCCCTTGTTGTTGCCTTCTTTCCTTCTCAATGCTTCCTACCTGTGAAGTTTCCCTTACTATATCCCTCCATTGCCTTTCATTTTGAAGAACTTAAAAGTACATTTCAAGAGTGAACACTTTTAGTAGCAGAGTTTTACTGAGGAAGTCACCAGTCTTCTGTTGATCTGCTACAAAAGCTAAAAATTTGTTGATTAAATTATTAGCTTAATTTGCGAAACAACATTTTCAAGCAATCTGGATCAATAAGCATCAGGGTTTTTTCCACCAAAAATATATAACACGCTGAAGAAAACTCTATGAAAGACATTTTGAAATAATTTCTAGAGTTTTTTTTTCTCTAAGTGTACCATAAAAAAGGAAGAATATTCCTCTCTGAGCACTTGAGGTTCGTACAGTTCAACATCTTAAATTTGAAGCTGAAAGTGACTATTAGTAAAAAAGGAGTAACATCATGTAGTGTTTGTCTAGACAGAAAAAGATTCTACTTATACTGGAATATTTAAACACACATTATTATACTCGTTTCACTATCCCATTTGAATCCAGAATATTTCATGCATATTTCAGAATAAGTATCATGCTAAAAGAGCATAACTAGAATGATTTAAATTCACACAATTTAATAGTTATATTGCCTATTTAAATAAGCCCTTATTTTCTCTGCTGAGTATAGAAAAAATTCAAAATCTTACAGCTTAGAATAAAAATTATATTGGATTGTCTCAATCATTCACTTAAATAATCTGCAGTGCCAGAAACACGGGAATGAGTTCTCAGATTTTTACACTGAGCAATCCTTTTGTATCATCTTGACCTCAAAGTACATTCAGAGGATTACAGGTTAAACATGATGTTTACACCAGAATTCTCTGTTATTAAGTTCAGTATGATAGTTTTATCAGAGAACGTAAAAAAAGACTTAAGTTTGGAGCACTACCTATTAAAATCCATCAGGGTGTAGACAGAAATAGCATTATTTTCCTACAATTTCCCCAAAGCTGTATCAACTTTGATTCAGACAACTATTTCCTTCAGAGTCATCACGTGGCCTTGCTACTTTAGGATGCCAGGATGCCCAAATGAAGTATAACTACATTTCTTAGTGGCTCCTAAAGACTGCTGTGAAAGAACGAGCGTAAGTTGCATAGATACTCATCTGAGAAAATGGAAAATGACAAGGAGATGTTATGTGCACCCTTCTTGTGCAGAACCTTCTCTTTCAAAACCTTCTGTCTACTTCATCTTTTTTGCTTTTATACTTTCTCTCACTGCTCTACGTTTGCTATTTACTCTGTCATTAGGTAATTTTACCTACTTTGTGTTACATTCTCTTAACAAAATAGACAATCTCATTGAATAACTTTATAAAACTTGCAAAACAAAGTTAAAAAAAATTTACTCCAGCAGCAGGCTACTGAGTGTAACAGAAAAGAGAAGACAACTGAAAGATGGTGTAAAAAAGGACAGAACTGAATCCTGAAAAACCTTGTATTTAATTGGCAGTGTTCTAATTAACATTGATTATATGACTACAAAAACAATTAGAACCAAATTATTTGGTTAAAATTTTTGTTTTTTTTTTCCACTCAACTGAACAGTGATTACTTAAAGGATATTGAGCTGGTTTATCAGAAATAAATGTTATGTCCAGTCAATTAAAACTCCTGTCTGGACTTGCACTGAAAGTAAATAATCCCCAGATGTCTCTTTTAACACAGATTCAGTGCCCTGGATTTATCCACCTCCAGAATGAAGGAATGTTTTATAAATTTTCATGAGGCAGAGTTCAAAATTGCACAAATTCTCAACATAAGACCTCAAATGAAGCATGAATTAATCTCCCCCCTTGCATAAGTCTGCCAAGATATTACAATCCCTTCTTCCTTCCTGCCCTGTAAAATATCTGTTGTCTAGAATGACTCCTGATTCATACACTGAAGATGGATGATACAGCCACAATGCATCAATTATTTAAATACATTATGCTTTCAGCCCCAAAAGCAGACTGAACTATTTTCTACCCAAACAATAAAGCTGTCATAAGAATTAGTCAGAGCCTCAAGCAATTGCTCAGATATGGCTGATAGAACTTAATTCCAAATGGTGATCAAACATATTTTAAAAGCAAAATTATGGGCTGCGTTTAACGTTCAATCAAGTGAAATATTCCAGCCAAACCACAAGTATTTCTGATAAATCTCCTTGTACAAGACACTTTCAGAAGGATTTAAATAATTCTTCTTTCCTGGAGTAGCAAAAATATTTTGCATATGAATTCAACTATTAAATTTGTAGTGTGAAGTTTTAAGAACCCAAATTACTAGTGGGAATATCTCAGCTACAGCTGGAAATCATGAAGGGGATGATCACACATGGTAAATAAATCAAAGTATTTTTAGCCAAAGAGAGAAGTCACAGATTTTGATAAATATTAGTTTTAAAAGACAAGAATTTAATGTACCCCTCAAAATATTCCACTAACGTATTTCACTAATAAAAGGAACAGCAATGAAAGATAATTTAGAAGCACTTAAGTAACCTTTCAGCCCACTTCCAGAAGATTACCTAATTGATACTTCTGTTTATCTAAAACACAATCAATGATGAACCTACCACTAGGTTCTCTTTTTAGAAAATTAGTAATATTTCAGTGATATTTTCTGAAGTGAAAATTTGAACAATTTTCCTTAATTGAATCATACTTGTAATATTACAGTGCAATAAAATCTGTTCTTGTTATCTCCTCCATAGCATTAGGCTCATTAATAATTTAAACAAAAGGAAAATCCTCCCTTGTATTATCAAATATTTATACTTCATCTTATTAAAACATATCCTTCCAAAAAAGATAAGAAATTTCTCAGATATAGATGGAAAGAAGAAAAACATGTATCTTTTTAAAATACGCAGGCATACAAACACCGTAAGGTATATACCAATATATCAGAGTTGTACATTCTGAGTATTTAATTACACTATCAACAACCAAAATAATTAATTTACCTGACCAGTACTGCTAGTTGCCATGCTGATTTCTGCTGCTCCTTGACCTTCATTCTGCCTCTCTGTATCATGTGAACCAGCATCATGCTTGCTTTGAGATGCTCTCTGTTAATATAAGAGTTTGTGAAATTACATACAGAAATGAAGTACCCTTTACCATTCAAATCTCTCTAGACTGTGAATGCATTGATGCTGCACGCTCACAAAGCCACTGAACAGCACTTTGCATTTCATAACCCTCATAATTAACAGCTGAGAATGAGCGTCTTTGAAAAACTGCAAATGAAAGTGAAGCATGTCCTCTGAGGATTACAGCCCTACAAGACAAAGGATTTGCTGCAAGACACAGAAACACCATTTTCCACCAGCTGCACATCGCTATCAGAAATGTAACAGAACTGGAGCAAACAACTGTCTTCACTGCACTGTCACATGATCTGTGCATTTACCAGAGACTACAGTGAGTGTAGTTCAATTACGCTTCACATTGAAAGATGAATAATTTCTGCATGGACAGAAGGATATCTGTGCTGTAAGAATCCTTCTAAATTTTAAGGACAAACAGTGCAGGAATAATCCCTTTGATGAAAATAAAATTTATATAATCTGATATGATCCACCTAATAATATTTTATCGAAAAAAGTCTACTGATTAGGCAATCTGGTACAGACACATTTCAGTTCCTTCAGGAGACCCAATGTTGTATACAATTAGGTCAAAATTAAACTGGTATCCTGCCACTGACAGGGATCATGATATTAAGACCAAAAAATCAAACCTTTAAACACAATTACTTAATAAAGCAAATAGAGTAACTGAGCAGTTACGAAGTGTTGAAATATCCAACATAATCTACTAATGCATTAAAAATGTTTCAGATTTTCAGAAAGACATAAATTATCCTATCCTTGGAAGCAGCTTGAAGTCTGGAGTTGAAAAGGTACCATCTTACCTCTGAAGCATGATTATTCTCATATAATGCCAAATCTAATTTTTCCAACACAGACGCTACTACTTTAACAGAAAACACTCTTGTATCTCTCTCAATTAATTTGTTTAACTACACTTTTTAGATTAAATTCAGTTTCTATGTGGCCCTGCAGTGCTCCTGTGCAATACAGCCTTGACAGCATAGTCTGCCTCATCTTGCTTTATGGAAATCTCTCTTTAACTTTGAGAAGAAACATACTTCTCTTCAATGTACACACACTGAAACTTCTTTAGTTACCTGGTGATCAAACTCATAGCATTATCCCTGGCATACCAGCTCTATTATGTTAATATAAAGACATTAGAGTTTCAAACCCAGAAAATATTTAACATTGAACAGAATCTCAGAAACCAGTAATTAACTAAATACATGTAAAGTGATAATTTAGGGATAAGCTTAAAATAGGAAATCTATACAGTTTAGCTAAAGAAGTAAGATATGTCAAAGAACAAAGCAATGTTAGAAAAAGTAGTAACATGAGAAAATTGAAAACAATTATGAGTAACATTTTTCTTTACATTATATGTTCAGTTATAATAAGTAACCCACAAAGCATAACTCAGAAAATATTTCAGGAGACACAGTATTACTGTTCTTTTAAATCTGATCTGTAATTTTAAAAGTCACCATCTCTGTCATTTTGTAGGAAATGACATCGTTGCTGATGCTCGTAAAATGACTAAATAAATTTTGGTTCCCAGCACAAGAGTGGGGACCCAGTCAAGATCAGGCCTTGCTGTACTATGTGCTGAACATAGTATAATGTATTATATGCTGAATTCCTGCCTCACAGTACTTTCAATCTTGAATTAAGAGTAATGATGAGTTTGACAAAATCTAGACCTAAGCCTCCAGTATAACTCAGGACAGAATTTTCCAGCCCTTAGATGACAGTAATTTTCAATCCTGTGAAGAAAGCATTATTCAACATATCTAGAGGCAAAAAGCTGAACTGTTCATTAGCCAGGGTCTGACTCACTGGGTCACTTGAGGGGGGATAATGCTACTCTTCCAAGAAAGCCCTGAGACTGGGGCAATTTTTTGGAGGGGTGATGACAGTGTATCTATTAAATAGTTTTCATGCTTCTAAAGCACAAACACAGAGGTATTTCATTCTCCGACAATGGAATTTTCTGCTCTCATCAGCTCTCTGCCTTTCTCCTCCCATTTACATACATTTTGTTTGCTACATACTATTTACGTGGCTTCCAATTCCCCTCAAGCACTCTCAAAAATACGCCACTACAGAAAGTAGTCAATGGAACACCTACATTTGTTTGCAATTATAAGGCCATTTTTAACAGCTGCTGGCATGACATGATGTAAGTCATCAGCTGGGCTTGAATGTCAAATCTGCAAGTCCACAGTGAAGAGCTTTTACCACTTCAGCTACTGAAGAACTTTGAAGTGAGCAGCTGTTCTCTTCATGCAGACTGGCCCAAAGGAGATAACAATAACACAGGCAGCAGATAGTAGGTATTAACTGAAAACTGATTTTTTTTAAAATATAAATGGCTATTTATTACAGATGTATTAGTATGCATATAATATAAACATCAACATACATTATATATGCATATTACATCAAATATAAAAATAATATGTATTTACACACATGTGGATGATTAAAATATATTTTGCATAGATATAGCGTTTCTGTAAATAAAATTTATTTATTCTGTAAATAAATAAATTCACCTGAGACAGTGGATTAGCTATACACAGAGTATAACCACTGCAAGTATGCCCCTATTTCACATTACCTTTTAACACCGGGGGTAAGACCTGTGGATGAAAATATATAAACTACCAACCACATCAGCAAAGAACCAGAGCACATAAACAGCAGCAGACTTGGTAAACTCCACATGAGGCACAGCATCTAGAGAATGGCACAAAGGTCCCCTGGGTTAAATAGCACCAGGTATATTGAGGAATGATTTTTGAAGAAGCATAAGCTGTGTCTTTAGGCCTCTGCTATTTCTGAATCCTGGCATCACTCTACAAAAGTCACAGTAACAGAATATGTTTGTTTGCTCTTGCAGCAGAATGGTGCAAGACCGTAGGTGCTGATTACAAGAAGATGGAGCTGCACTCTACATCTTGTTTGCCACTATTTTTAAGTGCTTCTCAAGTCAACTATAACTACCACTTGTCAATTATTAATTTCCCTGTATTTACTAGTAGAAAAAAATATAAATCTCTAGGTATTTTAAGACATTTGCAAGTAGGCCTTGATAATTTTTGCTAAGACAATCAATTACAAATAATTTTACCTAATGCTTTGTTTTTCCCCAATATTCAACTACTCTCTTAATAGTTTTCTGTGTATTAAAAGCCACAGATACACTATTATTTTCTAGATATCAGAAAATGTTTATCTGGCATTCGTTCATATTAAACACAATACATATACAGGTATAAATAAGAAAGTAAGACAAAGAACAATGCAACAAATAAAAATAAGAAAGCGTAAGATTGAAACAATTTTGCTATATTTGTGTCCAAGGAAAAAAAATTCCAGAAAGTCAAATCCTTGAGAGAACTCTTGTCCATCACAGTTTAAACTGCTTAAAACATGCTAAAAATAACCTCTGTATACAGTAAATCCTTTACATTTTATCTACAGCAACACTGCCCAATGGAAATACTTTGCCAAACCTTAAAAATGTGAGCCAAAATTTTCTCTGCTAATTGATTTCCAAAAGCTGTTTTTATGGTGCAGTAATACATTTGGTCTTATTCTGCAAGATAAATTGTACTTGGATTTCACAATGATTGGCATCACCACCTGGGCCAACTGTATCAGCAGATGAGCTATGGTATTTTTAATTGTTGTTACTATAGTTTAAAAGATAAAAATCACATTCAATTTGGGTATCACTATATCAGGCACAGTATAAAAACATAATACATGCCTCATTTATTATATATAAATATTGTATTTTTCAGTTATATCATATTTTTCAGTTATACGGACTCTACAGTTTGACTGCTACATGCTTCCCCCTTGCCACCAGCCAATTTCAGAACTACATCCAGCTGTTTTCAATAGGAGACAGCCATCCTTTGGAAATTATTAAAACACACTATTAAGTATTAGTAAATGACGAGTGATGCCCTGGTACCTGCTGGAGGGGAAATAGCAGAATGAAACATTCTAGAACATTTCTTGAGTGCTCTGATGACAACTTCCTGACATAAGATGATGAAAGAGTCAACAAGGACAGGTAATGTGCTGGATCTGATACAAAAAAAGGAAGAACTGGTAGAGGACGTGAAAAATAGCAGCAGACTTTGCTGCAGTGACCATGAGATGGCACAGTATAGGATCCTAAGAGGCTGGAACAGGGCAAAAACCAGGACCACAGACCTGCACTGCAGGACAGCAGATTTCAATGTCTTCAGGTATTTATTTGGAAGAATCCCATGGGCTACAACTCTGCAAAGAGAGGTCCAGGACAGGCTGATACTCAGTGATCACCTCCTCCAAGCTTAAGGAAGATCCACCCCAATAAGTAGGAAACAAAGCAAAGGCAGCAAGAGGCTTGTATGAATGAGTAAGAAGCTCCTAACTGAACGTGAGCATTCAAAGGAAAAGTACAAGAGGCAGAAGTGGCGTCAGGTGACCCAGGAGTAACAAGCTGCTGTCCAATCATGCAGGGATGTAAGGGGCAACAATAAAAAACTCTACAAGTACATAAAAAGCAAAAGGAAAACTAAGGAAAATGAGGGCCTTCTGCTGAATTGGGAAGGGGACCTGCTGACACAGGACACAGAAAAGGCCAAGGCACTCAATGCCTTCTTTCCCTCTGTCTCTACCAGTAAAACCACCCATCAGGAATCCAGTCCTCTGAGATGACCAGTCCTCTTACCAGAAAGTAAGTCTCGAACAAGGACAACTTACTTTGGTGGGGAGGACCAGGCTAGGGTAAGTGTAAACAAACTGGACACATGTTAAGTCCTAATGGCCTCAAGGGTTGCATTCATGAGTGCTAAGGGGAGGGATGATGTAATTGCAAGGCCACCCTTGAATGGTCATGGCAGCAGGGAAAGGTTCCTTAAGACTGGAGGAGAACAAATGTCGCTCCTACATTCAAGAGTAGCAAGAAGGAAGATCCAGAGAACTACAGGCTGGCCAACCTCACCTCAGTTCCTGGCAATTGAAAACAATGGAGGAAATCCTCCAGTAAAGCATTCCCAAACACATGAAACACAAGAAGGTGACTGGGAGCAGTCAGCAGGGTTTAAGAAGGGAAAGTCAAGCTTGATCCTTCTACAATGAGGTGACTAGCTTCATGGCTGAAGGAAGAGCAGCTGATGGTATTTACATTAACATTAGTAAGCTCTCAGACACTGTCCCCACTAACATCGAGCACTGAAACAGGCTGCCCAGAGAGGCTGTGGAGTCTCCTTCTCTGGACACATTCATGCCCTGCCTGGACACTATCCTGTGTGACCCAGTCTAGGTGATCCTGCTCAGGCAGGGGGGTTGGACTGGGTGATCTCTTGAGGACCCTTCCAACTCCTAATATTCTGTGATCATCATAGAAAAGCTGAGAGTGTATGGGTTAGACAAGTAAAGAGTAATGTGGATTGAAAACTGGCAGAACAGCTGGTCATCAGAGGGTTGAGAGCAGTAGCACAAAGTACAGCTGAAGGCAAGTCACTAGTGAAATACCCCAGAGATCTATACTGGTACCTGTACTGTTCCAGCATCTTCATTAGTGACCTGGATGCTGGGACACAGTGCACCCTCACTAAGTTTGCAGATGACAGAAAGCTGGGAGGAGAAACTGATACACCAGATAGTTCAGCTGCCTTTCAGAGGATCTTGTCAGGCTGTAGAAATGTGCTGACAGGAATCTCATGCAGTTCAACAAGGTAAAATGTAAGTCCTGCACCTGGGAGGGAACAACCCCAGGCACCAGTATATGCTGGGGGCTGTCCAGCTGGCAAGCAGCTTGGCAGAAAAGGATCTGGAGGTTCTGGTGGAAAAGCTGAACGTGCTAGCAATGGACCCTTGTGGCAAAAGTCCAATGGTATCGAGGGCTGCATTAAGAAGGGTTTTGCCAGCAGGTCAAGGGAAGTGACCCTTCCTCTCTACTCAGAGCTGGTGAAGCTGTATCGGGAGTACTGTGTCCAGTTCCAGCCTCCTCAGTACAAGAAACATATGGACTTAATAGAGCAAGCCCTGTGCAGCTCAGGGGCGCTTACTGGACAGGAGCATGTGCCATATGCAGAGAGGCTGAGAGAGCTGGGACTATTCAGCCTGGAGAAGTCTGGAGGGGAGAGGAGGGACCATGAATCTCATCAATGAATATAAACACCTGGATCGGCTAACAATGTCGTAAGACTAGAGAACTTTAATTATACACACTAATGTCTGCTTCACTTACAAAACCATTTTCCCCCTAAAATCCTGGAATCATAAAACCATTATTTTTCAAAATGTACAAATCTCTTAGTAATACAAATGCTGGTCTGAGCTTTCATAGTAGTTATTTTGGGTGAAGACAAACCATATATTCAGATGCAACCTGAATTTCCAATTTACCAGTACAAGAAATGGAATTGACCTTGTAAGTGAATTTCCACTGCGAGAGCAGTTTTTACTAATAGCAATTACTATTATGGACTTAGTAATTTACAGGAAACATTATCTTGTACTTTTTATATAGAACTCAATATTTAAACATTAAAAATATTCCAGGCTTCTATAATAAAGTCTGACAGAAGCTATTAATCTGTTTATTTTTTTAAAATCTTCTCTCTCAAAAGATAAGCAAATCATGAAGGTGCTTATCAGGGACCTGTAGTTAGAAAGGTATGTACAACTGACTGCTATTTTTTTGCCAAAACCAATGCTCAGCCTCTATAATAGATTGCACTTTGGAATTTTTACTGAAATTTCAAGTTAAACATTTAACTGATATATTAATGATTAAAGTTCAATAACAGCACAAAAACTAATCCAAGTATTCCACCCATAGTTCACTAGTTAAAGAGCAAGTAACAGCCTACGTATATTTGACTTTTTGATTATCTGTGACATTACTAGTTGATGTAAACAATGGTGTCCACCACTTCATTCAAATAATTTGGGTTGGGCTGGGTTTTTTTTCATAAAAAGATACATACCATAATCAAAAGAAGGCAAGTAATCGCTCACTAACCTCTGCTTCAGCTGCTTGTGATTGCAGGAGCTGTCGTATACGAAGAATGTCCTTCTCTATTTGTTGAATTCTTGCAACCCTTGCCTGAAATGAATGCATTCTCATGTTTGATTTTGTTCAGAAACTCCTTTTACTTACGGTACAGAATGACAATATGAAGAGCTCTTTGCAAACACAGCTGACTACAAAACAAAGCTACTTCATTCATGTGGTAACTCAAGTGTTCTTCATAATAAACATGATTGCAAACATTCAAAACAGTGACTAGTTGGGTTTTTAATAAAATGGATACTCATTCGGATATACTAGGTCATCACATGGTACACATTCAGGTATAGAGAAATGCTCCAGTTAACTCGCACTATTTTACTGTTTCTGAAACTGACATTTTGCACAGGTCTTTAGCAAACTATTTGACTTTCATCTCATATGTTAGAATTCTAGTTGCCTTGCAGAGATTTGAGATTTTTATTTACAGAGTGTCTTCAAGGTATAAAGTCTTCAATGATGTATATTGTATTTGGTTACTATAATGATTTGGAAGTTTTGCTTATGCACAGCCGCCGAGTATTTTTTTGCTTCTACAAATCTCAAAGAATTTACAAGCTAAGTATGAAGAAAACTACATCCTGTTTCTTTGGTTTCTCTGGGAATTTATAGACATCTCTGAATCAGTCTTTTACAGCCATATTGCTACTCATTTCCCATGGCAACCATTCTGTGGTTAGTGAATGGAATGTTAAAAAACCTAAATGTTAGAGGATACATATACTCCATACAAGTTGTACTGTGTACAGGCTGCATTACGATTCTGTGAGATATTAAGTGTATGTATAAAGCTATATATCCCTCTATGAGGTTGACAATTTAATGGGTGATGGGTAGTTTAACAAAATGGACACATACTTGAAAGAAAAATCCTGATTCTTTCACCTGATTAGCATTTCCAATGCTATACTAGAGCAGAAAGGCTTTGTGCATCTAGTGGACACTGCAAGAATCAGTGTTACAACCAATCTTATTTAACACCTTTCTGACCTGAAAATGGAAATTAGATGAGCTTTTAAAAGATGCTAATGCCAAAAGATACACATGGAATAGAAACACAATGTTATATAGAAATTTTAGAAATATAGAAGAAAATAGAATCACAAAATAGAAAGAGAATCTGAGTACCTGTAGATACAAAACTAAACATGGGAAAATATTTTTGTGCAGATGAAAAAGAATTAAATATTGCATCATTTTCCCAGTATCACTGAGGAAGTCCTTAGAAGGGACAGGAATTCCATTCACCCTTCCCAATTTTAAATCCAGAGATTTAAACATCAGACCATTCTTCTTTCTGCTAATTCATTATTTGTATTACAGGGAAATTCAGAAGTTCCATTAATCAGCAGCGTATTTTGTAACAAATACTGTAGAAACAGCAAAAAAGAATGCATTTCTTGCCATAAAGGGATACAGTCTAACAGCAGACTAACATAAACAACAACAGAGGTCCAAAATTGAACAAGCACCAGGAATGGTTTTAACTTTAGAACCTATGCAATAACAACACTTTTTACTCCTATTTGTTCATATTATATTCCTATTCATTTTTACTCATCACCTTTATTAACACATAACAGTTGGATAAAGTAACTTAATATTTAAAGTTACAAATTATTTGAATTTCACTGCTCCAGGAAGATTTGCAACACACACAAAAAACTCCTTCATATTCACAGTGATAGAAAAATAGTCCCTTTCCAGACAGCAAAAAGTGAGAAATATTTAGTTTTAAAAAGGTTGTCTAAATTTACAAAGAAGACCACTGTGTGAATCTAAGCGTGCTTAAAGAAAAAAAAAAAAAAGGAGATCCTTCATGTTTTGACATAAAGGAAAAATTAATTCTGTGCGAATATTATTTCAGTTTTGGAATTGGAATTTTTCTTTCTTGTATTTTACAGAAATTAAGTCTACTTCTACTTATCCCTAAGTATGTAGATTACAATATTTGAATAGTCAAAATAAAACAGGGGTAAGTATGGGGTTTTTTGTTTCTTTTCATGTAAGAACTACCATGTGAAGTTATAAACTTCAGGGAATAGTACAAGTTAGTGAGTTAGTATACATAATTGAACAAGCTAAAATACGTTGCTAATAGCCTTCTAATAAATCCTTCTGAATAACTGTTGGGCATGTGCTGGTATACAATCTTCATAAAAGTTAACATATACAGTTGCTGTGAGCCAACTTGCTTCAGAAGGAGGAGATTAAAGGAAACAAAGCCAGATGCAAGAGGGAGAAGGCCATTATTTTAAGGTCCATGAGAAAGGGTGGCTAGTGCATCAATTACCCGGACAACAGCAGGTTGTCAGCTCTCACACAATAATCTTCTAGACTTTTAATACAGAAATGACTGCAACGGCAGCCTTTACATAGCTGAACTGTTCTCACCCTTCAATCTACATATTGTATTGTGTGTCACTATCAGTTAAGGTGGAAGGAAAATACAGAGCAGAAAGTTGAAAAACTAGCAAGTTCACTCTGCTTGCCAAATGCAAATGGTTCAGTTTTCACATTTGAACATCACAGTGAAATATTCAATAACTTGATTTTACATTTTTGTATACCAACGAACTTCTACAGTTTTTGAATCTGTCCTTTGTAAAATGAAAGCAAGGGGAATTACCAGTGAAATTCAGAAGCAGCACATGCAGAAGCAATTACTTCCTACTCTACAGTCTTGATATAATCACAATAGACACTGTAATTTTTGTGTCTAAGTGTTACACACACACACACACGCACACACACACATATATAGAGAAAGAGGGGGAGAGACAGAGAGAGAGAGAGAGAGACAGAGAGACAGAGAGAGAGAGAGAGATAGTAAAACAGCTGTGATAAACCCATGGACAAACATGAATTTAGAAATTAATTTCTACATCTTTTTAGTAAGGTTCATTCCTCTTTTTGAAAAATTTCATTTATTCTCTGCCTGAGTGCACTTGGAATTTCACCAGCAGCCTGTCCTACCTATTTAGCTTATTTCAACTTACTCTAGCTTAAACTTGTTAGCAGCAAGAGAGCTCTCCTACAAGTTGTAATGCCAATGCTGTAACACTTTCTTCTGCAACAAGGCTAACCAGACATCTGTAGACAGTCTGCAGAGTCTGCTCTGCCTTCACTCAGGACTGGCTGACACAAGTTGCACAGCAGAATTTGTGCAGGGCAAAATTTGTGCCACTGCTGACAACCTCAAAAAAACAGCCACACAGCTTCCAGTTATTATATACATACCTGACAATTGCAGGATATCTGTTTTGCTAAATATTTATAACCATATGAATTTTCTGAAAAGTCCTACTAAATTACTCACTTTACAATTAAAAGCAGCTTTTCTAATTAGAAACAAAATCAATTAGGAACACTTTTTAAGTAGCAAAGTTTTCTGTTAAGTAAATCTGGTGAGAAAATTAAGAGCATAAAGAGACTATTTTTCTTGAAAGGACTTATTTTTGTATAATTCTCCATTAAGAAAAAAAAAAATCAAACCAGATTATCATACCAAGCTGGTTATTTAACATCTCTAGAAATAAATGGTAATAAATAATTCAAATTGTTGCTGTACTACCGTGGAGGAATAGTTTTCATAACCAGCATGCAACTGATTATTCAGTTTACAGGTTGCACACAATTACAAGTCATACTTCCAAATCTATGTAATATGATTTGCATACATCATGATTACAAATACGATTTGCCCATGACATCATCATGAATGCAAAACAATTCTTGGTGAGAGAAAACAACTTCCAGATATGTACGTGAATTACATTTTACTTGAATACCTTGTTTTCAAAGATTATGCCTTGATACATGGTTTCCGGTTGATACTTACCAATAGTAGCTGGATTTTATTTTAAACTTAAAAGCGTGACAAAATACACCACAACAGATGCAAAATAAAGCCATGGCAACCACATGTTGATTTGAAACTAAAATGGTAGCAAATTATAAGCCAATAACCATAAAAATATTTTCGTTTGAGGAAGTCATTTACTTCTGCCTACTCACAACTCTTCTTTTAAAGAGGCAGAGGACGGTACTTTTTGCTGAGTAGTTATTTCCTATGTTTAGGTTCCTATTTTTGTATTTCAAAGGCTAACTAAATGCTCCAAGGTATCAATGCATTTACACACAGTTTAAAGATACAACTGTCAGTAATATAATAAAAATGCAGGAAAGCCTTTTACATTCCTTCTAATAATGAAAGACTATACCTGTGCTCGTTTCTCCATGTCCTGACAAGTACCTAGCTGTTCTTCCATTGCAGCTCTGATTTGCCTTGCCTCATACTCCAACTGCCTTCTGGTCATATCTGTTTGCAAGGAGAACTGAAATTGAAGTACAGAGAAGGCATTTTAGTAAATATCATTTATGTAAAAAAAAATTTCTCTGAACAAAAGCAGAACAATTGCTTTTCCACATCAAACTTCATAAACAAACAAAAGAATAGATCCTTAATATATAACCACATTATTAAAAACAAGAACACAGAATGTTGTTCAACCAACACACTACCTGCAAGTTTTGTCAACTGACTAAATGTAATAAACATTGAGACAGTATCACTCATTACAAGCCTGGAACATCTGGCCACTAATGTGTGTCAGCATACCAATAAAATCATTATGTGTGCCATCTGAATCAGTATTTTCAAAAATATTCAGAGGTGTCAAACCTACTGCATGTAGTGATGGTATTCAAAATGCTGTTATCTACCCTATCTTCAACTATTCTGCAAAAAAAGCACAAGTGTTCAATTTAGGAACACCACCACAGCTTAAGGAAAGACATTTCAAACAACAGATTTTTTTTTTAAGGCAGGAGTAAAGCACTTCACCGGTTTTGGACAATTACTCAGTTTGCAAATAAAGAAGTCTCCAAGAGCAGTCCTCCCAGACGATTTCACCAAGGTCAATTCAGAGTTAAAAAGAGACAATAATCTACAAATGTGTAAAATGCTACTAAAAAGAATGCAATTTGTCATAATGCTGTGGCTGGAGTAATGGATACAACTTACCACAAAAGAGATTTAGTGCAGATGTTAAGAAAAATATTCTGATCACTAGAATGGCTAAGTTAACTCATCAACTATGAAACTAGGGAGACAATCTTAAAATCAAGAATAGAGTGACACAGATACAGCTGACAGTGCTTTTGGGAATTGGTTCCCTTCCTCAAGATTGTTTTCAGACCTTTTCCCCTTGCTTCTGGTGCTCTGATAAGCTCAGGCATTACTCAGTGTTACGTTTGGTAAGTCCTGCTGCCTCTCCTCAATCACCAAAGAATTTCCATTGCCTGCTTGCATTTCCAGGAGGCTGATTCTTGATCAGTATGACTCTGTAAAAATGGGCAACCAGGTCTTCCAAACACTGTAAGTGTGAAGGAATGCACAGCAAATATATCCAAGCTGCTGGGGTCTGAAAATAGGAAAACGTGCATTATCTGGGATATCAGACATGTTTATTATCCCAGATAATGGTGATTTGACTATAAACAGTTTGGAGGTGCCAAGGTAAAAACTCAGAGCAACAACACTTATACAGGCTACAGCACCACTTTACTTGCTGTTGTGAATTAAGAGCTTCTATGTACATTGTCTCTTAAGTGAATATTGCTCTCAGAACTGAAAGAATCCACTATATAACAGAATGGATGGAGAAAAGACTCTTTAGGGGAGAGAGTTAACAGAGAAGCGTACTGACATGTAATTCGTTTGTCATAATGTCTTTTCAGTCCTTCTCTCTATCGTGGACATTTATACTGATAGGTATGAATTTTAATGTGTAAAGTTATACATGAAAAATATATATGCATTATTTAGGCTAAATTAGCTTTATATAGTAAATAAAAATGTTTAAAATTAAAATTATAGTTGAGAATGTCACCAAATTAATAAAATATACATAGCATTTAAACAGAGACCATAGCACCAGATACATGACCAAGCATACTGAAGGTACTTACATTTTCAGTAAGAGGGAGACTATCAATCCTTTTAGTCAAGTTCTGAAGCTGGGCATAATACCAGTCCTTTTCTTTCTCTTCCTTCTCAAGCTCCGCAAGCAAAAGAGATCTATTAAAATGGGAAATGTCTCACTATTTAGACCACATTACCACATGTAGGTACAGAAACAGGCACTGATGCCCATAATAAAAGGTTAAATGAGAAACAAGGTTTGAAGAGGGCACCAAGAAGGCATTTGAGAAGGTGGGTGCAGTTCCCTGGCCCGGGCTAAGCAACCTATCCACTCCTCTGTGCTAAACAAGTCACTAAGAGGATGCTAAGAGGAAAATACGTAAATTTCTCTACAAAACCACTTTGCAATCTAAAGCTAAGAGGCACTTTGTGAAAGTAGAAAATGTTATTAGTTGAGTGCTAACCTTGTACTCTGCTTTTTTTAGACAATATGCTCTCTACAATCCATCAAGCTATATTTAAGGAAACGCCTGTTTATTACAGGTGGTTATACATCCTTTGCAGTGTCTCCTTACTAACTCTGTCACTCGTAACAAAACCATGGGCAAAGCACAAAAAAATCAAGCTACGAGTATTGAAAATACATTGAAATTTATTGAAATATAAAATATATTGAAATTTTCATCAAATGCTATAGACAGGACACACTTGCAGCTGTTCAAAACATTTTAAGTATCATAAGCAGACTGCATACCTGAGTAGTACATGAGAAAGCGAAGATTAATAGATACCAACTACCAAGGAAAAAATCCATTAGAGATTTTTACATACTATTTTAGCAATCCACAAACTAAATTTATATAGTTGTAAATTTTATTAATATAGTTTTATAGCATTCATTGTTACAATACTTTTCAAAATTGGTATAAAAACTTCAGAGAATCACAGAACGTTAGGGATTGGA